TCGTAAAATGGATTAAAGCACAGTACTGTAAAACTGTCCACAACCACTTCAGCACAAGTTTGATCCTCAGACAGGGAGGAGACCCACATGGCATGATAGACCTCTCCTGTCCCTCCCATTGCTTCCCTTAGCAGTGCATTTCAGTATATCTACCTGTTCTGCTCCCACTTATGTCTCAGGTGAAGTCTCTCTCCACCCCCCACCTCTGGCCTGTACCTCAGTTCTGTATGCATAAATGAATATTTTTTTTAAAAAAGGTGGAATCCCTTTATCAGAGATAATTCTAGAAAAAAAAGAAAGAAAATATATTTATGTTGAAATTCTAGACAGTAATTATTTTCTTTCAGAACCTTAAAGATAAAGCTTCACCGTCTTCTAATATCCATTGTTACCATGGAATAGCCAGCTTTCTTGAATCTTAGAGGTTATTTGAAAGCACTGTTTTTTTCTCTCTGACAACTTTTAAGATTTCTTGTCTTTGGTTTTAGCAGTGTACCCTTGGGAGTGGCATAGTGCCTTGTGGCTTAGGAGCATGATTTGAGGCACAGAAAGCTGTATGACCTTGAACAAGTGAATTAATCTCTGAGTCTCAGTTTCTTAATTGTACTGTCCAGTAAAAAAATAATACCTCTTGCAATAGTTGTGCATTGTGTGGGACAGTTATTTATAGGATACTAAATACAGTGCCTGAACAGAGATGGTTTTCATTAATAAATAACCATTGTCATTATTCTTCCAACAATTATCCATGTTCAAAATCCAGAATCAGAAGTTTGTACTAACCTTACTATCCTAGAATATTGTGTTCCTATATGAGCATCAAAAATCTTGGGTGAAGAACACATGTTATCATGTGGCCAGCATGGGGTTCGTTTACTTTATATTTTTCCTGTTTAAGTCCACAGAGATTTTCAATACTACTTTGATGGCTTTTGTCAATTTTAGAAATTTTTCAGCCAGAATCTCTAAAATTTACTACTTGTTTAATACCATTCCTTCCTTATCATCTTTTCCCAAGACTCCATTTGTTTCTTCTATATTTTTATACCTTTATTCGCCATACTTTAGTCTGCATGTTTTCTACTGACTTGTCATAAGTTCATGTAGCTGTTCTTTTTCCATGTCAAATCTACTAAACTTCTTAGGCTCTTAATTTCAATTAACAATGGGCAAATCATTCTTTGATTTTAGAATTTTATTTGACTCTTATTTAAATTCTAATTATCTGGTGATTCTCTTTAGTTACTTAATTTATTGAATATTTTGTTCATAGTTATTTGAAAATCTTCATCCAATAACTCTAATATCTGAATTATTGTGGTTTTTTTCTAAAGTCTTTTTTTTTTTCCCTCCTTGGTTCTTTGACATATCATCTTGACTTTTAGCATGCCTAAATTTTATTGAATGTTAAACAAAAGGTATGAAAAAATATACAAAACAATGTTATCTTCCTGCAGAGGATTTACTTTTTCTGGAAGGCATTTAAGGTAGGGGCAAATCAACTTGATGATTCAGTTAGAGACTGAGATGATGATTTAGTGCCAGATTTCAGGTTTTGTGAGGACTAACCAGCTTCTGGTTTTCATTACTTCTAAGACCTTGTCTTTCATGCGTCTAACAAAATGTTCATGGCATGTACCATGTCTTTACTCTTTGAGAAGCCTACAGTTACAAATTTTGCCTTTTGTTTCCCTGGCAGTTTTGTTGTTTGTTTTTTGTCTTTTGGTTTTCCCAAGCATCATAAACTAAAAGTTCTCCTTAGCTTTTCATCTTTCACCTGTCACTTTTTGCTCATATTCTTGCACTCGCCTGCCTTCCTGCCAGTGAAGCTTAAAAATGGGTGAATTTACCAAAGGGAAAAGTGACTTGAAGTGTTAGATTCACTTCCCTACAATTCTCCATTATTTTCTCCATGATTTTGGTCTCTCAAGTCCTTGTTACTTATTGATATTTTTATACCATTTTCTTTTCTTATTAAATTCAACTTGTACTGTGCTTATAAAGTAGGATTGGTTTGATGCATGCTATTGTATCATAACCACAGTGAAATGCTAAAGTACAGCAATGATGCAACTGATTAATAGGATGGCTTATCTAGGAAGTCTTGGGGAACAAGCTCTGTATCCACTGCTCCCAGGAGCAGTACCTCTATGATGACTACAGTTGGGTCAGCTACTGCACCTTCCCCCTCCTATTCAATAACTCTCATTACACCAGAAGTGTGGCATGCTAAATTTGAAGGCTAGTTTACCCAAGTGTTGTGGGTTTGTGATTTTATTTTAAGATTTATTTATTTATGCATACAGAACTGGGGTACAAACCAGAGGTGCAGGGGCCGTGAGAGGCTTCACCAGAAACAGAGTGGGGAGCAGAACAGGCAGATTGACAAGTACACTGCTCAGGAGAGGTCTGCAGCACCATGTGGATCACCTCCAGAGCTGGGGATCCAACTCACACTGAAATGGCTGCAGCAGCTAGCTTGCAGTGCTGCATCCTAACCCGTTGTGCCACCAGGGAGGGCCCTATGCTTTTTTTTTTTTTTTTTTAGGTGATTTTTTTTCATTCTTTGTTAGGAGATTATGGCTTTTTTCTTTTTTTTAACCACCTTCTGGGTAGGGATCAAACTCATGGTGAAGTGGTTTTAGCTTCTTAGTGCTGTGCTTTAACCTGCTGGACCACCAGGGAGGGCCCCATGGTTTTATTCTCATTTACAAATATGTTTTCTTTTATAATATGTATATTTTTTATTTGAATACATATTTATATCACATCTACTAATGGTTAGTGTCTGAAAGCTAAAGGTAAAATTTCAGAAACATAGACTGGAATAAAAATAGTAAGAGAACTTTAGTATAAATCAGAAACCATAACAAGCAAGATTATCTTGTGTGTCTGCACCATACTATAGTGAAAAACGAACCATAAATCTATCCTGTATGTCTGCCTCCCAAACCTGCTTCTCCCCACTATTCTTTGCTTCTTTCTTGGTTCACAGTATCACCCTTTGCAAAACTGTCCATGTCAGAAGCCTAAAATGGGGAAGATGTGTGTATGTTTATCAGGGTGGAGAAGGCACTGTCACTTAACCTTTACATCTGATTAATCACAAATTTTATTAGTTGTACCCTGATACCCCCTTCTCCATACTCTTCTCACCATCTTTCCTATGAACCTATATTGGTTTTCATTCAATTAGTCTCCTAATTTGCCTCCCTGACTCAATATAGCTCCCTTCCAAATCTGCTCCCTAATTATGTATTAAGTACTTTTTCTATATTCAAATCTGAGCCTATCACTATCCTTTAGGATTTCTCTAAAATGGGCAAATGCAGAGACAAGAAAGCAGATTCTGATTGCCAGAGGCTGGCGGGTAAGGGTAAATGGGAATAGACTAATTCCAAAGGTAGGGCTCCTTTGGAAAAAGTTGGACACATTCTGCAGGTAGCTAGTGGTGCCAGCCACAACAGAGTGAATATCCTGAATGCTACTTAATGATTCATTTTAAAACATCTAGAATGGCGATAGCACGCACATGCACACACACACACACGCACACCCATAGGATAGGTTCCAGGCCTCCCAGAAGCATGTCACAAGGAGTACACACTACCTCACCAGTGTTTACCAGTTCCACTCTGCCTGGTTTTCCCTCTTAACTCTTCAAAAACAGACCCTCTTGCCATGAAGTTTCATGTGCTGCCATGCCACCCACCACCATCTATCCAGGGATCTGCTCCTCCAAGACCCCCATAAAGTGTTTCCTCACACAAGAAAACCACATCCACATAAGTCTCCCTCTATATGTCATAATCTCCAAAGACACATCCAGGAACTTTTCCTGCCACATCTATGTTTCCAGCCCCAGGAAGAATTATATAATTTTCTAAAATATAATTAGGTGAAACTTTAAAGGGTTTGTATAACTTTTTAAAAATTCATGTCACATTTGTAACTCTCCCGGAACACCTGAAACACATGATAGAGGTTTCAGCTGTAATGTAGGAACACCCAAAATACACATTCTGATGATGAGACTGTTTTTTTTTTTTCAGTGAGCCTAGGGATTCATGTTGTCACATTTAAATATGTAGTCACAGCCTTATCACATTTTGCTTCACCTCTAAAAACTGCTGAGGCTACATTCAACAGAGAAGCTTATTTTTCAGTGCTGTAAATTTATTTTTGAGTTTAACATTAGTAAAATAACTATACAAATTTGCTATGGAACATATTTTGGAATTTTGTAGCACATGAGAAAGACTTTACTCCTAAATGAGCACAAGTTGGTATAAAATTTAATAACTGTAATAGGCCTTTTGTATCAAGAGATTCGACCAACCAGGAATCAAAAATACTCTGTGATTAGGCACCTTATAAGTTATTGAGAGGTGATTTAAGTTAGACAGGCAGGTATGTGTAAGTTATATGTAAATACATCATTTTATATAAGAGCAGCCACAGATTATTTTGTTCTCTGGGAACTTTGAACCCATCCTTCAGGGATGTCTGAGAACCATTTAAAAACTTTCATCCTTCATTTACCTATTATTAAATCTATCGAAAAGTAAGACAATCAGCCTCCACAAATATGTGGATTGGTAAAACATGTTCTGGATTACATGTAAATTTTAAGTATATAAGTGTATTTTAAAGATTTATTTTATTTATGCATACAGAACTGGAATACAGTCCAGAGGTGCAGGGGCGGTGAGAAGATTCACCAGAGACAGAGTGTAGAGCAGAACAGGCCCACTGATGAAGAACACTGCTGAGGGAAACAACCCGCGGGTCAGGAGAGGTCTGCTGCACCATGTGGTCACCTCTAGGGCAGGGATCAAACTCATGCTGAAGTGGCTTTAGCTTCTTAGTGCTGTGCTTTAACCCACTGCACAACCAAGGAGGGCCCAGCTATAAGTATATTTTAATATGGGTTATAACCTTTCATTCATTTAGAATATCTCCTCCTCTAAATTTCTTTTCTTCTTGCTTTCTCCTTTCAGGTCATTGTTCGCGGTGGAGGACACATTTTACCATATGACCAGCCTCTGAGATCTTTTGACATGATTAATCGATTCATTTATGAAAGAGGGTGGGATCCTTATGATGAAGAAACTTTCCTAAAACAAGACACTTCAGGATTTTAACCTCTGAAAATTTTCAAAATTGAAAATGTTGAAAATTGAAAATAGAAATGATTGTCTTTTTTATATCTGAAAACTGTTTCTCATCAATAAAAACTTTTTCCTTGTAACAACCAGGTTCTGTTTTAAGTAGAGATGGTCCCTTACTTTTGTGCATGAGTGGGAGTTGCATCTTCTAACTGAAAGGATGCAAGAATAGATTCTGAAACACCAATCCAGATGGAACTGGACAATGGGCTATCAGGGTCTTCAATAGAAATTTTAATTCCAAGAATATGTGAAAACTGTAATAAATGAGTAAAGTTGTAACAACATTGGCTTCAGTAAGAAGTTTGTTAAAACATGCATGTGAAACTGTCTTGTAAATATTACTGGATAAAACAGTACTGATATAATAGTGATAAAATATTGATATAAAAGTTATAATAGTGGTAGGGCTGGCCTTGGGCATGGAGAAAGTCTTACCACAAAAGGTAATTTGTGTAATTTTTGGAACTAGATGCACATATAAAAGTAATGATGTATGAATTGATGACAAGCAGAGGATCTACCAGAGAATATACTGAATTTGCTTTTTCTTTTTTCTTTTTTTTTAATTTATTGGTCCATTTGAAATATACATATTCATCTAATAGCCTGCAGGCCACATTAGTTATGAGCCATTTTTAATGTGGGTTTTAAATTCTGTACTTCTTTAAGCCAAATAAAGAATAATCTAATTTTGTATAATTGTAGGACTAGCAACAAAAATTTGAGATAATCTGGCATCAAAATAGATTTGTTTATAAATATGCATACATTAGTTATTTTCCAAAATATCACATCTTGGCACATCTTTTCTATTTATGTATCATGTGTTCATATCTCTGAAACTCTCCAGCACATTTGGCTTTTCCACATCATTCATTTCCCTCTCATATTACCCATCTAAGAAATGGCTCATTGGATAACTCAATATAAAAAGTCAAAGCCTGTTCTTGCTGCAAATATTTTACTAATTTCTCACTTGATTTCATTCAGGTTTTTTCACATCCTTTGTTTTTATTCATAGTTTTCATTGTGCCTACATACTACAAGTCTTCAATTCAAATATTGTGTATCGAAAGCTTATTTTAATTATTGCAGAGGATAAAATGGATAGAGTGTGCAAAAATCTGCATATAGCTCCATCTGCAAAGTTGAAATAATCGCATTCAGCCCCATAAATATGTATTGGGAAGCGTACCAACTGTGACTGTGAGATGGGGAGATTAGTTCCATGTGGGTCATGAATGCACTGAATGTTTCTGGATAAGTCATTTCACTGTGTTAACCTCCCAAAGTGTCAAAGAAGATAGAGAGAAGAGGAGATTTCTGAGCTTGCTTCCAGTACACATATCATTTGTGACAGTACTTAATTGGTAAGATAGCATGAAATGACAGAGTCAATCATCATTATTCATGGAGTCTGTATTTTTATTCATCTACTCACTAAAAATTTACTTGAAATCCCAATGCAAATTCTCACTTTTGCAGTCATTCTTGAACATGCAGTGATGAAAAGTTTGAGTAGCCAAATGTGCATGTTCTCAGCTGAATAAACAAGGTTCTGCTCTGACTTCTTATTTCAACCTCATGCTGCAAACATATAACTGTCTTATTTGCTGCTTTTTGTGGGTGGTTTTCTGTTTAACAGGGCTCTGAAGTAGAATGCCAAAGTGCTGTCTAGTACTTCAATAGACAAGTCATGTTTCATTGAGGGAAAATATGTCAGACAGTATTATTCAGGCATGAGCAATAGTGCTGTCCCATGAATTCAATGTTAACAAAACAACAATAAATATTAAATAAGTTATGTTTAAACAGAAACACAAAACAAGGTTATGTCTTGATGGGTTGACAAAAATGTTGTGACCAGTGGCCAGTAGAAACCAAATCTTTTATTTCCGTTAGGAGCAATAGTACAGAATTCCCTAATTCAGTGCTTCCATTGTAGTGAGAGAAAATAACTACAGTTAACAAAGAGAACCATTTCTATAGAACTCTAAGCATAGAGAATAGCACTAATAACTCAATAAATGGAAATTATAGACTATGTCCTTTTTGTCACTTCTCTGTCCCAGGTATTGGGATACTGGGACATACTGGGAGGGGGGCAACCACTTGCTAGGCCTTTCCAGAGCAATCCTTCCCAACACCCTCAAATCCTACCTTGAGTGCTAAGAATACTGACTATGGAAGGTATCCTTAACTTTAAAAGAAGGTAGCTCAGGGCCCTCCCTGGTGGTGCAATGGGTTAAAGCTTAGCACTGCAAAGAAGCTAGCTCCAGCAGCTTTAGTTTGTGTTCAGTCCCTGACTAGGGAGGTGACCCATGGCCCAGCACTCTCCTGCCTCACCCGCTGCCCCCCTCAACAATGTACTTCATCGTTCTGCTCCCCATTCTCTCTGGTAAATCTTCTCACCACCCCTGTACTTCTGGCCTGTACCCCAGTTATATATGCATAAATATATAAATATTTTTTTAAAAATAAGAGAAAGTAGTTCAGAGACTAAAAGAAACAAGTCTTTTAATTTAATTTGAGAAATTCCTTTGTCCTTTTAGAGAGAATTTCCAAAGGGGGTTAATACTTCACATGAGATGCTCTAGATAATCTATGAGGTCTAGGGAGAAAACAGTAGACTCCCTGTGTTGGTTTCATTCCAAATGAGAAAAGAATTAGGCTTTACAAATATTTAATGTCAAGTGGTCACTGTGCCCTCCCAAGTCCAGACATGAGGCATGTCTCACGTGAGCCATGCCACTACTGTCAACAGACAGCTGAAAGGGAGGGTAGGGTGGAAAGGGGTTGAGGAATGAGGTTTCTCATGGTTTGGGTCTGGCATACTGCCAAGAACTGCAACTTATGTGCTGATAGGAAGCTACCAACATGATTTATTGAATAAAAAGAAAACAATATCAATAACTTTTGTTAACACTTTGCTAAGTGATTTGGAATGTACGGTAGGTATCCTGTAGCACACTGATAATCTCATAGTATATTCAAGGCATTGTTGAATCTGAGCATCAGCCATGCATTCTTTCTTAGACAAAATGACAAGTCTTACAATGAGGTGTTATTTTCTGTCATGGCAAGTGGGTATTTTTAATGTCATTTAGCAGATATTTTTTAAAAAGTAAACACAATCTGTCTTCCAAGGTAGAAGTGATACTTTAACAATTAGTGAGAAAGTAATTTCTAAAGAAGTTCAGTCTATAGCAAGAATATTTTGAAAACAGATGTTTGGATGAGCTTCCACATATTGTGCATATAATATAGGGGAAAAATCCACAGTCCTTAAGTCAGGAAATTTTTCAACAAATATTTTTGCATAAAAGATAGATGGGATTGAAAAATGAGTTGGGGGTGTTGATAAAGGTTATCTAATGAGGATTTTCTTCCATTTGGATCTGTATATCTTGGTGAAGTATCTTTTTCAGTTCAGATGGCTTTGGAAACCAAGTCAAAATAAATTAAGCAAATAAGTAGATGTTTGAATTGCTTTATCACAAAGTGTTTTTCAGAAATGACAAAGCATATCCAATGCATTGATCCTATTAAAAAGGTTAACGGTAATACTTCAGGATACAAAAAGATTTCATACCACTAAAAATAAAATATAATTTTAAAAAAATTTACCTTTATGGTATCTTTTTAAAGTTTCCTGCATATAGCATTTAATATTATGGCTTTACTTCATAAGTGAATGAAAGGTTACATTTTTGGTATGCCTTCAGTAGTTTTTAGGAGTAACACTAGCATAAAGATTTGGAAAATACTGTTTAAAGGGTAGAAAAATCTAACTCTAAAAGTAGCCTTAAACTTTATACCAATGTTGTTGAATTAAAGAAAGCAAGGAATCTAACAATGTAATGTGGTTTTGTTTATAGAAAAAAGAGGGACGGAAATGAGGAAAGAAAGAAAAAATGATTAAAAGCAAGAGAGGAAGGAGACATAGAAGATTTATAAATAACAGTGCCTCTGAAAGATGAACTACTAACAGTAGGGGAGAAACAACTTTGGGTTGAGAGCAAGACTTAAATTTGAAGTATAGTTTGAGTTTACACACACACACACACACACACACTAATCTGCATCTAGAATCTCAAAGAATAGAGTCTCAAAGAATTGCCCTTTGGGTCATGTTGTAGGGACTAACTGTGCCCCAAGGAGAGCATTGGGTTCACAGGGCTTGAGCATAAAGAGACAAAAGTGCCAGACACTTGAGAAAAGGAAGGGTTAGAAGAGATAAAAGAGAGAGTCTGGCCACATGTTAGCTGAGATAGAAATTTGGGGTTCTGCAGAATCTGAACTTAATAACATTAACACCCCTCTACCTACTCCTACTGAGCAGAAAGCAGGGCAGAGGAAGCTTGCTGAATGCTGTTGTATACCGCTAACTGTGTGTATGTGCAGTGGGGAAGGGGAATGGGACCTTGGGTACAATGATAAAGAGGCAGGAAAACAGGTAGGTTGCAGTGGGGCTCTCTATTGATATAGCATGGAGTTGGCCTGGAATTCCAACCTTGAACACCTAGAGATTGTCCCATTGGGGGAACAATTAGGCCTCCAAGTTCATTTTATCTGCAGATTCTGTGAATCAAATATAATAACAGCAGCTACCTTTTTAGGGTCCTAAAATGCACCAGATGGTTACCAAGACATCATGAGATGAATAGCTTTTCCAGTTCACAGATGAGGTCTTGCAATTTTACAGATACAAAGAGCTTTGACAGCAAATGGCAGTGTCAGTCCAGATTCAAACCTGGAGTCACCTCCGAAATGCCATCCTCTTTCCACCTAGGAGAAGGGCTGACTCCTGATCCCCCAGCTCTTCCCCACCTGGTGACAGAAATCAATTGGGTAAATATCAAGACTCCATCAGGGGCTAGGGTGTATATCATTATTCAAAATGCACTTTATTTTGGAAGTTGTATAAACTTGATTCTTGGAAACTTTAAATGCAGTATCCACCCAACAGGAACTAATTTAAATTAGAATTGTGGTTTCCTTGAAAATGCTAAGAGCTTTCTTTTAATTACTTATTCATGGGAAATTCTCTTCTCAGGTCTCCAGAAACATGACAGAGAAGTCCAGAAACCAAGGACTGTGCTCCTGTGACAAACTGTTTGACTAGAGCCCTGAGTGACTTTGGAATGTCCAGAGTTCCCTTTCTTTCCTGCAGGGAAATACACCCCCCACCCCCCCACACACACACACATACACAAACACCCATCTTCCTGCTGCTTTAGGTGGGCCTTGGCTATGTCAATAACTATGCCATTTTAGTCTCTGGTTCTGAGGTCAGGAACCATTTCATTCCTCATGTTGGGACTTTGCAGAGCAGACCTTGGTGGAGCCTAACTGCCAAGGCGAGTGGAGGCCTGTTCAATTCTACCATCACACAAGAAGTCTGTGCCCAGGGAGGAAATGTAGCTACCTGCACAGATGTGTTTACATTTTCTTGCATACTGTAGTAGTTATTGCCATTATAATGCTGAAGATTTAAAAAATGTTCAGAAAATAAACCTGAAAGTGATTGATTTTGTTGCCCCTAAGACACAGAGCCCAGGAATTGAAAGCAGGCTGTTGTGATTTATATCCGCTGGACCCCAAGGAAAGACATCTGTTCAATCATTTTAAAGAGATTTTTGGCAACTTCAGGTATGTGACGTGGGTCTGTCTGCATTCCCCCAGGCTCTGTGCACTAGAGTAGAAGAGTCCAGGCCTGTGGTTACTGTTCAAATGGATTTAGCAAGAAAATTCATTGTATTTAGCCAGATCTTTGGGGGTAAATATTAATCTTTTCCTTAAATCTTTCATTTTCAAATTGTTAATTAAAAATATAAGAAGTAATAACATCCTTAAGCAATCCTGCAACATACCCACTGGTAACCACTGAAAACTCATTCCAGGTTAAGAACAGGTGGGCAACCTTGAATTCAGAACGACTAAGACTGTACCCCACCACCACAACAACACACACAAACCACAGTATTGTTACTAGAAAAAAGGGGCCTGGTCGTCAAGCAACTAAGACCCTAAAAATGTCCACCAAATGCAGAAGTCAGAGCTCAGTAAAAAGGATTAAAGCCACCAGTCTCTATATTTTGACATGCAGTGGGAATAGACTTGGGGAATCTTCCTAATTTCCCAGTGAATATTTATAGGTACAAAAGCATAAAACTCATATAGCTCTAGTAAATTTTGCAGATACTTTACATTTTCTTATATAAATAACCAGAGGAAAGAACAGAAGTGCCTGAGAGAATTGAGGCAGTTTTTGAAGAAAAGAAGAAAATCCAGAAACCCATGTTAGCATGTGAACAGAAATACCCAAGAGTGATAGCCTATATTCAGTGCATCATATAAACTTTGTATGCTATGGTACCTATTCTGGGTGCTAGAGGCCTCTAGAAAATCTGGCCCATTCCGCAGTTTAAGACCTTCTACATGGGAAGGGGGGGCATGTGAAGAGAAGTTGGATAACCACTATACTAATAATAGGAATTCTAAGGTACAAATGCTTTCATACCAGGAGAGCAGAGGAAAGGGACTGCCTAATCACTCCCAGGAAGG